TCCAAAATAATTATATTTGTGTTATTTAATTATAAATACAATAAAATTTTTATAAAATTCACAAAAATCGTTATTTAGTATCCAATGGATACTTCACGGCTAGAGATGGGTTTCATGCGTGCGCATGATTCCTTAATTGTGCGCATTAATGCGCATTCATCAGGATCATGCGTATTTTATCCCATCTAAATTTTATATAAAAAAATTAAAGTACCGGTATATGTAATTTAGGCCAGAGAGCGTATTATCGGGCAATTAAGAAATATGGGGTAGTTTCAAGAACAGTGAATCTAGTGATATCTTCGTGATCATTATATCACATGATTAAACACTCGGCCTAAGTTAGGTTTAGTGTTAGGGTTAGGTGATAGTATAGTTTAGGCCAATTTGTTAGTGCTAGTAAGCAAATAACGTCATTTCATGATTTCACATGATGTGATGATCACTGGGTTCATTGTTCTTGAAGTGTCCCAAAATTTGATATTTTTCGAAGTGAAAATATAAATTCCAAAATTTATATCATATCATGCGCATTTTATATAAAGTGCGCATTAATGTGTATTCATGCGCATGTTATTATAAAATGCATATTATTCCCATCACTATTCACGGCATATTAAATTGACATCCCGTTGCAGAAGAAACTTCCAAGTAGACGTAAACTAATAGTTAATATTAATTGTACACTTTCTATATTGTTTATAAACCTACTTCTAAGAGCATTAAACAATGGTCTTCACTTAGTAGGCATGGTTCCACTAAAGAAAACTCCTAAGTTTCTTAAATAAATGGCATTTTCTAACAATGGTCTTATTAAATAAGCAAAATAAAATTCTTTTCTACCCCTCAGGTGCTATTTTATCGTATTCTAGTATTAAAAATAAACCGGATTTTTTAGAAAAAATCAATTTCCTTGAGATTCTTACAAACCTATCTAAATGAAAGATTCAAATAATTTAAATTGTTTTTTTTTTCAAAAGAGCATCTGCTACTGCTTTACTTAGGTAATTATCTGAATGATCTAAAGAAGTTAAAAAGTTATTTTTTTGCAAATAACATTTGCCAATGCTTCTCCACAAACTATAGTATCAGTACGAATCATTTACCTTGGAAATAATGTTTTGCAATCATACTTTACTGTATATTTCTAATATTATTTCATCCATTGAATGTTGATAGTATCAACAAAAGAACAAGAACACATTCCTTACAGAAAATATTTCATTTTAAGGTTAATTATCTTTAATATAATTTTTTATTTCCCTTTATTTAAAGGTTTACACGTGATACACAATATAGCGTACTGTATATATATTAACAAATAGATTTTTGACTAGCTAGTTTAACAAGCTAGTTCGTATGATGAATACTAACTATATAGTTTAATATATATAATTTTAATTACTGGTAGTTAAAAAAAAAAAATCCGGTTCATTAATTTGAACTAATACTAACGTTAATCATCAATTAGATGCGATGATTTTTTCCTTAATTAAAATTTATTTATTGGATAATTAATAAGAAAATTATTTGGCCGAAATGGTCAAAAATCTATATAGTAAAACTAGTAATACAGTTGACTAATATTATACAAATTAGAAACATATGATTGAAGTTGTCTATTATCCATTGATTGGCTAGTTGTCCAGTTGACCGGCTGCAAAAAATTGGGATGACACAATTGCCATTGATATGGAGTTCAATAAGGATAAGGAGAATTGCTTATATGATATTTGTCTTTTGTTGAAAATGTGAAACAGGCTTTTTTTGGAGAGCTGGTAATCTTGGAAACTTTTTTTTTGAAAATCTCATTTGTTTCTCTTGCGATTTCTTCGTAATACTTAATAACATGTTAAGGCTCTTTCCTTGTTCATAAAAAAAACTTATAGATACGTAGAAGTAAAATATAAATATATATAAATTATATCGATTTAGTGATGGGACTAACAATACGAAAAAATAGGTGATCCTTAATTGTCACTTTTTTTTAAGTCCAATCACTATCGGTAATTGATGCTCAAATTAAACCAAAATTGGCGAAAAATAAAAACGATACGTATTAGATCCAATAATTGCATTTAAAAATGTCCATTCACTTATGTTTATTGTTAACTGAATTTCTGATTTAAAAATTTCAATTTAATGAACCGAATCAAGGTTTCAATCCAATTTTAATATTGGAATTATTACGAATCATCTTTTGTGCAGCTTTACACAATTTTTGTTAATATAACATGATTAACATGATTACTAATTTGTACATTTTGGTTTAACAAACTTGCATATTCTTTTGTTATGTAACTGGTGACGTTAATTAATATAATTAATCCAATCTTTAAAAATTACTTATTAGATTCAAAATAAAACAATTTGACGAAATAAGTAAACTTTTTTTATTATGCAGATCAATATAACTTGAACCTTTGCTTTCGCTCAAATTACTTTTATGAATTTTATTGTTAAGATGGCTATGAAAAATTGCAAGAAAAATTTCTTTCAATATGAACTACCCAATGAAGTTATGATATATATCTTTAAATATGTTAAAAATCCTATGAACTTAATTTTAAGTTGCAAAAGGTGGTCATTTATTTGTAAAGACTCTCAAGCAAAGGCAGAGTGGATCATTTTTCAATTTGGGAGGGTTCATTGTCTTTTTCATGCTATTAGGCTAGGTCCCACATTTATCTCGGTTGCAATCGTTTGTGCTATTATTACTAAAGGTGGAATCCTTTCGAGATACTTTGTACAGCGCCTTCTTATACACTATGGTAACTACGACCAAAATCTTATCGAATTAAAGATCGCACATAGTGTAGGACAAGCCGATTTAGACAGAATGAGAACTTTACAACAAAAAATAATTCCATGGGCGAGTAATCTGCCTCTCACCGTTTATCTGTTTTTATTAACAGAAGCTTCTAATCTATTCAACGCTGATTTGTACTTGAAAGGCAATGATATGGAGCTCTTTCACTTTCTTTCTGGAGGTCCTCATACCATTAATTATGCACATTCCAGAACACAATATTTGAATTTGAAATTCGCAAAAGTTCCACAAATAAACTAACGTACCTCAAACTCCGATTATCTAAAGATCAAACACAGACCAACGGTACAACTAATGGAAAACAAACATGGGGATTCTTCCAAAAGAATTATTCGAAATTACCCCTAATTTAGTAATTCCCGGCAACACAAAATCCGACCCCACTGTGCAATACTATAGCCTTACGGCACATAATAATTATGGCCAAATGTCCGGTATTAATTATGACATTACTGCACATAATAATTATGGCAATTTTAATGTCGATCCAAATGTGCGTTATTTTATTATGATAAATTTGTCATTCTCAATAGCATGCTATTTGAATATATTGTTTT